ATTTGTTTTTTATTTCCTCCTAGAGTCTTAATGAATAATCTTAGATTGATTTTAACCTTCTCTCTTTTTATATATAAGTTTTTAAATTATAGAGCTTTTCTAAGCACTGCTTTAGCTGTGTATCATAAAGTTTGGTATGTTATACTTTTATTGTCGTTTAGTTAGATGTACTTTCTAATTTTATTTTTGATTTGCTCTTTGATTCATGTATTATTTATAAATGTACTATTTGATTGAAAATATTTGGGGATTTTTTTCAAATAGCTTGGTCATTTCCAATTTAATGGCAGGAGAGAATATTCTCTAAGATTTTGAAATTTTCAGTGAATTGAGACTTCTCAGCCAAGCATATAATCTGTTTTGATGGCTCTTTAATTTGTACTCAGAGAATGTATTCTGTAGTTGTTGGGTTTCGTGGTCTACACATGTCAACTAAATGAAGTTAGTTAATAATGTTGTTCAGATATCTGTATCCTCACTAATTTTTGGGTATTTGCTTAATCAATTACTGAGAGAGGGGTGTTCACATTTCTGAGATTTGGACCTATTTTTTCAGTTTTGTCAGTTTTCTTCATGTATTTTATTGCTTTGTTTTTAGGGACATGAGTTGTTAGGAGTTTTATGTCTTCCTGATGAATTAGCCCATTTATTATGATGAATTGTTCCTCTATTTATACAATATTCCTTCACTTGAAGCCTATTCTCTATGATATTAATATAGTAAGTTCATATTTTTTATATTGAATGTCTTCACTATCTATCTTTCCACTCTTTAAGTGTGTGTTTTGTACAAAACATATAGTTGGGTGTTTTTTTTAATCCAACTTGACCATTCCTGTCTTTAGTTATAGTGTTTGGCCCATTTACATTTAATGTAACTATTGCTATAATTTGGTTTAGTCTGTCATTTTTCTGTTTGTCCCATTTGATTTTTATTCTACTGCTCCTCCTTTTCTTCTCTTCTTTGGAATAATTGAATTTTCTTTAGTATCCTATTTTAATATCTCTATTGACTTTTTACCTACACCTCTTTTAATTATTATTATTTTTAAATTTTTCATTTTTAGAGACAGGGTCTGACTCTGTCACCAAGTTGAAGTGCAGTGGTATGATCATAGCTCACTGCAACCTCTGCTTCCCAGGCTCAAGTGATTCTCCAGCCTCAGCCTCCTGAGAAGCCAGGACTACAGGTGCATATTACCACTCTTGACTTATTATTGTGATTATTTTAGTGGTTGCTTTAGGGACTACAATATGCATCCTTAATTTATCACAGTCTAGAGTTAATATTGTATGATTTTTACATACAGTGTTATAATCTTGTAACCATATTGTTTCATTTATCCCTCCCATCCTGTGTGGGAGTTTTGCCTTATATATTACATCTATATGTGTTACAAAACCTGCATACAGTGTTATAATTTTTGCCTTAAGCAGTGTCTTAGTGAAATCGGGGAAGAAGGTATACAATATATATAGTTTAAATGTATTCACACATTTAATGATGGTTTTCTTTCTGTAATTCTAAATGTCCATCTGGTGTTACTCCTTTTCAGCATGGCAATAATTTCTCTCCATTTTTATTCCACCTTAATTTTGAAGGATATTTTTGCTGTATGTGTAATTCTGGGTAGGTAGATTTTTTATTTTCTTTCAACCTTTTCAATGCGTCATTCCATTATTTTCTAGTTTCCATTGTTACGACGAGACATCCACCACTATTATAGCTGTTCCTCTATATATAAAGTGTCATTTGTCTACAGTAGCTTTCAGATTTTCTGTTTATTTTTGATTTTTAACAGTTTGACTGCAGTATACGTAATTGTGATCTTTGCATTTGTCTTGCTTGGAGTTTTCTGAACTTCTTGTATTAGTACACTTGTTTTTAACCAATAATTGGGAAATTTTCAGCCACCATATCTTCAAATATTTTTTACTCCCCAATTCTTTATGCTCCTTTTCTTCTGGGACTCAACTTACTCATATGTTGGACAGCTTAATAAGGTCTCACAGATCATTGAGGTTCTACTCATTTTTAGAAAACTTATTCTCTGTTAGGTAAGGTAATTTAAATTAGCTTTCTTTATCTTTAGATCATCTTACTAGTTTCTAGTGATAGCATTTTCTCTTGACTGTGCACATGTTTTTTTCCTATTCTCATGTTCAGTTGTTTTATTTTACTGTTACTGATTGTATAGGATACCATGTATTAAGTCTGAATCATGTCCTCTTCCTTTAAAAGGTGTTAAGTTCTATTCTGGCAGTCAGTTAAATTATTGGCAGATCCTTGTAGTTTTGCCAGGATTGGTATAATTCTCTCTTACAGCAAGTCTATTTCAGTTTTGAATTTAGTTTTAGGATATACTCCTTGCCTCTGGGGCTTAGTCTTATAAGAACAACCTTTTGAGTTCTGAGGCACTCAGTAAGTTCTCCTCACCCAGGTTTGGTTGGATTTCTAATGTGTTTCAACATTGCATAGCCTCTGGTATTGCTCGCTGTCTATCTCCTACTGCTGTAGCAGGCAATCTTTGTGGGACTCACTCTATCTTACCCTGTGCATGTGCTCCCCAGTCTTTGGCCAAGGACCTGTAGTGAATGCTCATGTGCGTATGTAAAGTCTCTCCTTTTCATAGTTCCCTCTGAAGGAAGGAACGCTGGGAACACCAATCTCAGAATGTAGATTCATTCTCGTGGTGTCCTGCTATCAAATCTCACAGGACAGTAACACTGTGTATGTGTTAAGTGCATAGCATTTGGTTTACTGAAATGCTGATGTGGTTGTGTTGGTGTGTAGTTTTCAAATAAAAATTCCCTCTTAAAACACGGCTGGACGCGGGGGCTCACGCCGGTAATCCTAGCATTTCGGGAGGCTGAGACGGGTGGATCATGAGGTCAGGAGTTCGAGACCAGCCTGGCCAAGATGGTGAAACACTGTCTCTACTAAAATTACAAAAATTAGCCAGGCATGGTGGCAGGCGCTTATAATCCCAGCTACTTGGGAGGCTGAGGCAGGAGAATTGCTTGAACCCGGAGGTTGCAGTGAGCCAAGATCATGCCACTGCACTCTAGCCTAGGTGACAGAGCAAGACTCTGTCTTAAAAAAAAAAAAAAAAAAAAAGAAAACACTTTAGGGTAGAATCATCAGAAATCCAATATTGATAAAACTTAAATAATTCTGTCCAGATCAATTAAAATTGTTGAGTCTGCTTATGAATGGAAGAAATCTTTGAAAAATTTAAAATTCTAACATATTTTTTTCAATTTTGCCTTCTCTGGATTTCCCTAATGTTCCCCTCCCATAATCCTTTTTATTCTTATATTCCAATGTGCTTTTAAGTAATACTACAAAGAGAGTAAGCTAACAGAAGCTGAGATAAATTTTATTTTTATTTTAAACAGAAGAAAGGAAAAAGGGGTTACATTTTTATAAATATCTATAAATATAGAAGGATAGGCAAACTTCCAAATAAATAAATAAATATTGCCACATGATGAGGGATATAAGAAATTGTAGGAACTATTATGGCTTTGCCATAAAGAAAACCCCTGATGGTAGTGTTAAGTTTGTGAGATTACAGCCAGTTTTCCACCAAAATCCTTTTGGGATCTTTCACTGGGGAGCCTCCAATAGCTATTATGCAGGATAATATTTCCAACAGGAAATGAAAACAGAAATATTAAAATATTTGCCATGCGTGGCTATATACTATTATACATAGTTTTACTGTTTCAGAATAAGAACCAATCCTTCAACTTCAGCTTAAAACCATCAGGTCAAAACAGTTGCCCCATGTTCCTCTGATAACTAGAAAGAATAGATCAAAGGATAAGGTTAGTACGTGATGGCAGTGAGAAAAAAAGTGACTGGGAAGAAGCTGTTGTTGAATCGACTTTGCTTGTTAATATTCTGTCCTTTAGGTGGTCATTTAAAGAGAGGTAGGAAAACGGAGTCCCCTTACAGGAAGAACCGCAGTAAGGGGGTAAGGCTGGGATGAGAGCTGACCGTCAGGCCCACCTGCCTGGTGCTCCTCTGCGCCTCTCCTGCTTGCTCTGGGAAGCTTTGTTTCCTCCAGATAGCACTGGGGCTCCTGGGACTGAAAGCCGACTTCATCTAATGCACCAAGAATTTCCAAGGGGATTGAGACCCAGATGTGTCAGCCTAGGAGTGTTTTAATGAACCCAAGAGCCACTGCTGCTGCAGAGCCCTGGAGACCACAGTCAAGAACCTGACCATGTGGTTGCTTTTTCATAACTTCTGTAACATACCCCCTGATTATTGGATTTCTTTCCCCCTGAGTCCTTGATGCCACTTCATTTAGAGGAAAGCACACAGTTTTTCAGTCCACAGAAAACCTAACCCAGAGCGGCCCCAGTCTCTCAAGGCCCCCTTCTCAGTCACATTTTTGTAGTTTGTTCAGAATGGATTCCTACTCAACCTGGAAGTACAGCCTTAATTAAATGCCTCTTAGGAGAGTTGGAATTTATTTCCACTTTGAAAAGCAAATCCTAGCAGGGTAGATTTTCATGAACCAGTATAAAAGCTATTCCTTAGACCACATTTTCAAAAACCAGAGATGGGGCCAAAAGGTGAGGCTGTATCATGAGCCACTTGGGAACAAAGTGGGGCCATTCTGGGCCCTCTGGCTGTGGCTGCAGAGAGGGAGACAGCGAGACACAGGGTGCTCACCCTGTAGGGAGGCTGAGTTTTCTATTATGATTCCTGCCTCAGTCCAGCAAGCATCAAGTTTACATGTCAAGTTTTCACCAGCCTACCACCGGTCTTTTGACAGCTCTTCCCCAGAGATGCTCAAGGAAGAACGAAGGCTTGAAAGTAGTGTTTTCATCAACTTGCCCCGTTCAGCTGTTAAGGTTTGCATACTCAAATGCCAGTGGGATCGGGGCATGTAACATAAATGTATAGGGCAGTGGGGAAGCTTCTGGGATCTCTGGATCGCCTCTTCCCCCACACCTTCAAAGTCCTGAGCTCAGGAACCCACTGCTTTTTTTTTTTTTTTTTTTTTTTTTGCTTAAAGGTGATAAAGAAGAGAGGCACAGGGAAGAGAAATATGTTGGGAGAGACCCCTTCTCTCTCCCTTCATGAAGGGGAAATTTCTAGTTTACCTGTTGGGGTTTCCTATTCGGAAAGGTGTTCTATGTGGAGTGAGGAAGGGGGTGAAACCCCATGACTTGGGCCTCAAAGGTTGATTCTCACAGGACCTCCTGTGGAAGGGACCCCAGAGAAGCAGCAAATTCCATCCATTGCCCCTGTCACCTTTCCCATCCTCGGAACGTCAAGGGAGCTGGTCCTTGGGAAGAGCTGCTATGCTGAGGGATGGGTTAAAGAGGGTGCCCTTCCAGCCACCCTAGATGAACTTGGGGAAGGGGCGGCAGCCTTCCGGGCCCGTTCCCCCAGCGTGCGTGTTCACCCGACCGCCCCTGACCACCCCTAACGGGTCGCTGGCCACCGGGCTGTTGTCCTCGGCACTCGGGAGCTCTTGTGAGCAGGAGGCCGGGGCCGGGGTCATCCGGGCCCGGGGCTTCAGCACGTTCAGGGGGTCCCGCTCCGAGTCGTCCTCGGCGCTCCGGGTGTGCCGCCGTGGTCTGGGGGTGTTGAAGTGGATGAGGGGGATCTCGTTCCTCCGGGACAGGAACTGGGAGTAGGGGGGTGGGTTCATGCCTGGCAGGAAGGCCCTCTTCGCCCGGCCCAGACTGACCAGAAAGTGATGCTGGGGAGAGTGGTAGACGTCGTAGCCGTTCTCCAGCGTCCAGTGTCGGAACCTGCAGTTCTCCGGGTTGAAATAGTGCTGGAAGGGCAAGAGCGAGCCACGTGAAGCCTGGCCCGTGGGGGCCCACCCACCCCCCGCTCCTCCTGGGGCCACACGCTTGTGCCAGCCGGCCTGAAGCCCTGAAGTGCTGAGGGCGTTGAGCCTTCACCCCTTTGTTCTCTGCTGGGGTCAAGTGGTTCTCATTAATGCTCAAGCGCTGACCATAGTTCCCCCTTTCAGAGACTAGACTACTGGGGCCTCTGCTTACTGCCTGGAGGCCCGGCCTGGCCTGGCCTGTGGTTTTCCTGGAGTAGGCACCACCTCCTCCTTCCCGCCCTCTACCTTTTCCAAGTTTCTGCTGGCTGACGATTGGCTTGGGTTTGTCTCCTTGCTGGAGAAAGGAGAGGGGATGGAGTTTGTAGGGTCAAACATGAATGAGGGCACTGACGGGATTGGAGACATGAACTTTGCTGGCAGATGAGCTCGGTTTGAATCCTCTACCACTAGTACTGGGTTTTACTGAGTGCTCCACAAAGGCCTTTGCATGTTATTTCTTTCTTTTTTTTTTTTTTTTGAGATGGAGTCTCGCTCTGTCGCCCAGGCTGGAGTGCAGTGGCCAGATCTCGGCTCAGTGCAAGCTCCGCCTCCGGGTTCAGGCCATTCTCCTGCCTCAGCCTCCCAAGTAGCTGGGACTACAGGCGCCTGCCACCTCGTCCGGCTAGTTTTTTTTTTTTTTTTTTTGTATTTTTAGTAGAGACAGGGTTTCACCATGTTAGCCAGGATGGTCTCGATCTCCTGACCTCGTGATCCACCCGCCTCGGCCTCCCAAAGTGCTGGGATGACAGGCTTGAGCCACCACGCCCGGCCTGCATGTTATTTCTTTTAATCCTCAAACTCCACAAAGTAAGCAGTTTACAGACCAGGACTGTCTACATGCCTAGATGGGTTCAAGAGATGTTTAGTTAGTTCCCTATATTTCAATAGTTGTTCAACTGATTTTTTTTCTTTTCCTACTCTAGCCAGACACTACTGTAGGGGCTGGGATGCAGCAGAAAGCAAAACAGAAAGTCTGTTCTTGTGGAGTTTCTCGTGGGCAAGAGCGGTGGTAAGAGAATCCTGAGATAAGCAGTCCTACTATTTGACTATCTCAAAATCCTTGAAAAGAGGCCAACAGCCTTCAGTTTGGGAAATCCTTTGCTTACCAATCCGAATGAATAGCGATCACAATTGGGGCAGGAGTTATTAATTAAAAATCTTTAACTGGAGGGAGATTCACAGGTCACGTGGTCTATTCCACTTCACTTTTTCCAAGTGAAAATGCTGAAGTTTGGAGACGTGAGGAGATTTACCTAAAGTCACAGCTAGTCCCAGAACCAAGAAGACACCAATGGTTTTTCACCCTTTTCTAATGTACTTTACAACGTGAATTGACATGACTCGAGGACCTGCGACTACATACCAGGGCCTGTGCTAGATCCAAAAATGGGTTCCAGTGGGCAGTGCAGACTAGGGGCTGAGAGCCTGGGATCTGGAGCCAGACTGCCTAAGTTCAAACCCCAGCTATTAAACCTGAGCATTCAATACCTGGACCGCATGAAGCATCAGTGGAAACAGGTCACCAGGGTACACTGCATATGGAATTGTTAAGCTAGAAAAGTCTATGTCCTGTCAAAGAAACTAGGTTAATTGTTTGCATATGGTGACCAATACAAAAAAGAAACTCACGGATCCAAAAATGTTGCCTCTGAAATCCATGCAGAGGTATCTTCTGCTCATCACACCTGTAATCACCACAAAGCCAGCATCCTCTGATCTGATCATCAGGGCACCTATGGAGAAAACCAGGCAGGACCAAGACTCACTGAGCATCCAGTTTCCACCTTCAAGCACCTCCTGAAAACCCACCTTCATGAAACCTCCCTGGATTGATTTTTAAGGGTGATCATGACTTCCACACCCCTAAATTCAGCCTCATTTCTACATATTCAGCATTGCTTCTGACATTCTGTCTTGCCCCCAGCACACATACAGTCATTCACCTCCTGCTTCGTCTTGCTGCCTGTATGGGGCACTCTGAGCTCCTGGCATTCTTCTACCTGTGCTGAACACATGTGTCTCTCTCTCTACCTATTTTCCCTTTTGCCTTACTAATGCCTTTGAATGTTTGTGGTGATAGTCACATTCTTCCATGCCTTCTATTTTGTGATTTTTAGATCTATGCTGAGATGTCTTTCAAGGATCCAGCTTGTCCACAGAGTCTGATTCTCCACCTGGATGTCTGTGTAATCGTCTCATACATCAGTCAACACCCAGTATGTGTACAGAACGGTGTTAGGGTTGATCTCTCTCTTCCTTCTCTACTTATTGAAGTCACTCATTCTTCAAGACCAGGCTCAGGCGTCACCATCTCTATGAAACCTTTCCTCATTTTTCCATTCAAAATCAGTTGTTCTTTCTTCTCAGCTCCTCAGGACAATGCCTTCGCCTCTATTACAGCATGTATTCCATTTCCCTTGCTTTAACTGAGTTTACTTATCTAGCACCTTCCTTAGAGTGAGCTACTTAGGAGCAGAGGGTATATAACTGTTTGTGTTGAATCAATACCAGTGATGGATGGAATTTTCTTCTTGGGCTTTTCTTGGGTTGGTTCTTTGTCATTTTCTCACTTGGTGGTGACCCCTCCAGGTGCCATCCCTCATGGACTTTCAGTGTCCCCTCTCAAAAGCTAGTCTCCGACAAGAGCCTGAAACCCATTCACATGACCTACCTCTTAAGTAATTGATAACGGCTTTAAGTGTGCAAGTGTGCTTTCTGTTTTATGGCAAAGGCACAATTAGACCATATGCTAGTGTAACATGAGTGATAATTCAGCAAGACTTCTCCCCCAAATGTTGTTTAATTAGCTGACATTTTCTGTTAAAAATCATTACTTTAGGTCTTTGGGGCCACTTCCAGTTGCCTAGCACAGAATTTCCAGGTGCATCTCATCTGACCTCACAGCCCCCAGGGAGGCAGCTAGACTCCCATGCAGGGATTCGAATTCCTCTTCTGCAACTGTAGCTTGGAGAGGTTGTAAATGCCCAGTGTCTGTGCCTAGCAAGTGATGGAGCCTCCTGGGGGTGATTGAAAGCCCAAAGCTCCTCTCCCATCCCACGCAGGCTCAATACAAGGACCTTTGAGGAAAATAAGCAGCAATAATTCGATACTAGCTCAGTAGAAATCATGATAGGGACTGAAATTGGAATGACGTGGAACAGAGGGAATGAGAGTGGAGACAAGCCCCAGAAAGGTGAGAAAGGAAGAGGGCCAAAGAGAGAAGTTAATTTGTTTGAAAGTTTGGCTGAGGGGAAACTTGAGGGAAGCTTCCAGAAGGTGGACTGGGGTATGGCAGGCACAAAGGATGCTTAAATTCCTCCACAGTGGTATCTGCCTATGTGTCTCAAATGTATGGCTAGTTTTGTGGTAAACCTTTGGGGAAACAAGGAACGTGTAAGAAATGGTTTTTGTTCTGGTGACTTTTCAGTCTAACTGGGAAAAAATTACATTATTAATGGTCTTTGAGTGGTTGCACTCTAAGCACTTTACGTATTTTGAATTCTCAAAACAAATGTTACATTGTTAGTACTAATTATTATTATTATTATTATTATTATTATTAGTAGTAGTAGTAGTGGTAGCAGCAATATCCTAATTAAGTGATAAGGAAACTAAGGCAGGATTGAAACTCAGGTCAGAGGCATCTTCCTACTACGCGGTAGCAAGCCTCCAGCAGAAATCACTAAGAGTCTGAGAAGACAACATCAAATGCTAAAATACATGCTGCAGGCAGTGAGGACAAGGAGTCACGGCACCGCTGAGGGCTCAGGGCAGAGGCACTGCGCTAGGCGCCAAGAACCAGGGAACTTGGATTTTGGTCCCAACTGTGCCACTTGCTGACCTTGCAGCCTTGGGCAACTTATTGCTCTAGCCTCAGTTTCCTCAACTGTGAAATAGAACAGTAGCTCTCCTGCCTACTTCATAGGGTGATGATCAAATGGGATAATGGTGGTGAAAGTGACTCGAAAGTGTCGCACAGAGGACATCACGTGGCGTCTTCTGACCTGCTGTTTATGCCGGGCCCAGGCCTTGACAGGCGTGCTGGCCTGATGCTTGGGGTCAGCGTGGGCAGTGCGTGTGGCCCACGTGGTCCCGGTCTCCAGAGCCAGTCCCCCTGGAAAACCTCCGGCAGTGGCTGAGGAACTGTGAGCAGCTGGTACAGAGGGACACAGACTCTTCCTTCAAACAGTGTGAGTCAATGTGAAAGTGCAGAAAACGTGAGAGTCACGGTTTCTTTCCTTTGCGCTTTCAAAAGGCATCTTTCCGCAGTCTGCGCAGATTCACAGGAGAATTTTGTGGAAGGAAGGCACAAACCACTGACTGCCGGAGCCCCCCGCCCTGCCTGTTGGAGCTGAGCAGGCTGAATGGACTTTGCCTTCAATGACAGAGCTGTCTGCATGCGTGTGACCTTGGAAGAGCGTGGGATTTGGGGTCAAGATGTCCTGTAGGTCTTTTACTACCTGTCTGACCTTCAGCCAGTTATTTAAGTTCTTTAACTCTCGTTTTTTCACATATAAAATGAGGATGGCAGAAACATTTACTTACCTCATTTGGTCCTCTTGAAGACATAATGAGATAATGTTTTTATCTTTTAGAAAGTACTTCCTAAATGCTAGTAAGTTTTACTATGACCGCTTTGCCTCAACCTCTGCTTATACAAGTAGGAAATTATCTACTCCGTTCTACTCTTGTGGCCAGTAAGTGATAAATAAGATGATAGCAGTGAAGTGCTTTGAGCACCTCAAAATAAAAATGTATGAAGAAGGCTTAAGGAGCCCAGCAGTAACTCAGCTTCAAGTAAAGACAGTTCCTGTGGGGAAGATGGAAGAAGTGAAAATGGCAGGATCTAGGACGTGATATTACCAGGGGCAATAAACATCTCTCTCTTGCTGGTTCCATATAATGAGGATAAAGGGGAGTCAGAGGATGGCCTTGTTCATGAAACAGGTGATAGGGACATCAGAGGGGTACCTGGCAGCAGTGCTGGTGAGTCCCAAGGGAGCTTGAAGAATCTGGTAGGCAGGAGATGATTTCGTTTTGTCAAGTCCAATGACCCAAAGATGGGTCGTGCACTCAACTCTTAAGAATTTCTTACAGCAAAATAATAAGATGAACCAGAATTCACTAGAAATGGATAATTAGGAGTGGAAAAAATACCCCTCACATTGTAGGTTTCCATCAGTGTAAAAACATTGCTTAACAGTCACTGATGAGGTCATTACAAATCCTTCACTAGACATTTAATTAGTTGTGATTGTTATCTATGTGCATTAATTTTTCCTCTTTCTTTTGGGTAACTTTTTTTTTTTTTTTTTTTTGAGATAGAGTCTCACTCTGTCGCCCAGGCTGGAGCACAGTAGTGTGATCTCAGCTCACTGCAACCTCCGCCTCCTGGGTTCAAGCGATTCTCCTGCCTCAGCCTCCCAAGTAGCTGGGATTACAGGCACGCACCACCACGCCCAGCTAATTTTTGTATTTTTAGTAGAGACAGGGGTTCCCCATGTTGGCCAGGCTGGTCTTTAACCCCTGACTTCAAGTGATTCTCCTGCCTTGGCCTCCCAAGGTGCTGGGATTATATGCATGAGCCACCACACCTGGCCTCTTTTGGGTAACTTAATTGTATTGTGTAATTTTTTTCCCCCATAATACACGTGACAACTGATGGAACAGTACAAATAGTTATCTACATAGACTAGGAAAAGCAGATCTCTCTCCCACTCCCCTGACCCTAAGTTCCCCTCCCCGTATTCGCGTTTAACTCTTTAAAGATGCAATGTTTAGCTAGTGCCTGTGTCTAAGAAAACAAAACCGTATTTCTGTTTTTAAAGATCTGAAGTCAGTTCCATTTGTTTTCCTGCTTCTCAGTCATTTTAATTCAACTAGCACTCAGTGATCCCTTGGGGCCTGATATGAGGTGGGTTTTCAAGGAAAAGGTCTACAGTTCAGACTGCCAGCCCAGGAGGTCGACTCTTCACACTCACTCCCCACCGTAGCCAGCCTGTTCTGTTCTACCCTAATTCTTGTTCAGGAGGAAACATCTTTAAGGAGTTCCTTTCAGCAATGGGATTCCAGGATTCGAGACAAGTTGTGTAAACATTCTCTAGTTGGATGCCGCCCTTTCCATCTAAGAGAATCAAAATAATTTACCATAATCTACTATTCTGCATTTTAAATCACACAGAGTCTTGAATTAGAGTAAGAGTGGCCGCTCCATGAGAGGCGCAAAGTCGCATTTCCTAAAAGTCTGGTAGTGAGCTGGCCGACAAGGCAGGATGACAGACCACAAGGTCCTTGAGGGATTGTGTCTTACTTTTCAGTCACAGAGCTTGATAGAATGCCAGGCACGTTGTAGATCCTGTTAAATATCCATTCAATAAAATGAACAACACTTTGGGTTCATCAAGTATATCCGGATTTAATTGAAATTTTTGCCACGAGACTCAACCTTGGTTTCCAAGATGTTGACTCCTGAGTCTTACTATATCCTCTAGAGTTCTGGAACCTGTTTGGTATTTGGAGAGAACTTTTCTGTCTCCTTTTATCTCCTATCAATAGGCATCTAGCACTTGAGGAGGTTTAAACTGTCAATTTCGCATGTCATATATCTTGCAACTTAATTTTGCATGTTATATATCTTGCAACCAGGTTTAAGGACCTTTGGTTCCTAGAAGAACAAATGCCTCACACACAGCAAGGTCACAGCAAAAATAATTAACTTATTACAACAATAAAAGGCAAATCATAATTCCTATGTTTTCTTTAGTTAGAGATTGTCTAACTAATTTTTCTTTCCCTTAATTTGAGCTATATTGGATCAGTTTGCATTTTTGTGTATCCTTAGAGGTATTTTCACATGTTTTCTTAAAATAGAAGATCCAGTCTTTTTCAATATCCCTGCTCCCACAACATTACCCCTTATATAGGTGCACACAAAGTGGCCCTCATTTGAATCATTGCTAATGGATTGATTATTATGGATTGTGATCCAATTCTCCACAAACCTCATCTTTAAAAACATTCCAGTGGTCTCACGTTGCCAATAAGTTTCTAACTAGCTTGACTTGCTAATGACTGGACACCTCTCAGTTCCACAGAGAAGAATCACCAATGCGTACTGGGTACCTGGGTACCTGAGTATCTGAAACAGCCTTTAAACCTCTTGGATGGATGGTTGGATGGATGGATGGATGGATGGATGGATGGATGGATGGATGGATGGTTGGATGGATGGATGGATGGATGGATGGATGGATGGATGGATGGATGGTTGGATGGATGGATGGATGGATGGATGGATGGATGAACAAATGAATGGGTGGATGGGTTGTGTACTTGGCCATTCTCACCAAGACAACATGCCTGGACAGTCTGTGTTTAATACATCTTTCCAAGAATTTTTATAAGGCCAGAATTGGAAAGAGCCCCCAGATTTATCTATCACAATCTGGGTATGACCCAGGAATCTTCTTTCCAACCTGCCTAGTTAACCCAGCCTGAAGTCCAGGAGCTGAAACTTAGTTTCTGTTGATCTGCCTGGCTTCTTTTTCTCTTAGACTCCTTGCCTTTCTTTCAGTACATTTTCTGAATCTTTTGACGGGGCAAAGGGAATATGGCTACTACTGTGGGAAGGGTTTTAGTTTAAACAAAAAGTATGCATGTTAGAAAAACCAGCAAATACTAATTACGAGAGTGGCAGAATCTTCCCCTAAGATTTAAATACACACACACAGACAATAAGTAGTTCCTGGGCAGAAAGCTTGGAGGGTTGGATTAGCCCTCCAGTCTAGTCCCCAACCTCCCCAAGGCCCCTGTAGGTGGACAACAGGGGCGCTCCCCTTCTTCCCAGCCTGAAGTCCTACTCACTGTAGATGGTCTGATGGGGTGCGCCATCCACGTGGCCATTCTTGTGGATCTGCAGGTGGTAGCTGTTCCTGGCTGTGGCTGTGTACAGGTGGATCAGGCCACCCCAGCTGGAGCCGAGCAGTGGGGAGGCATTGGGATAGGCTCTGATGACGCTCATGCTGCAGACGCTGCACAAGGCACAGACCCAGAGCCTGAGGCGGGCCCCCAACATCACGCCCTGCTCTGAGTGGCTGGTGCTGAGATTGAAACCTGACACTCCTGTCGGGACTCTCCTGGCCCAGGCCTCACTGGCCTTTTCCTTCTCCCTTGCAAGTAGCTGGTGTGAGGATCCTAGACTGAATTCCCTCCTTTTTGCCATCAGACTTTTAAAGGGTAGCAGTGTGACATCAAACAGGAAAAACTCCACTGTCCACATCCTCTGTGTTGTAATCAGCCCATTGAAAGAGAGTGCAAAGACCCCGGAGGCGCACGGAAGGCACGTCGGTTCCAGACACACACACACCCCTCAATTTCAAGCCAACGCTCCAAAAAATGAATGACGTGTGGGCAAAAGTTATCTGCCACTCTGGGCTGTCTGTTGACCTGTCCCACTTCCATCAGGAAATGTGAAGGCAGCCAGCGGTTCCCAAAAAAAATCCAGCTTCAGTCAAGCAGTCAACCGACTCCTAGGCAATTAATCTCCCGTCGAGTTTACTTATTTTGGTTTTCTTTAAATTCCAATCAGCAAGTATGTATCCAGTGCTTAATCTATGAGCAGGATTCGGTGGCTAGCTTGTAGGATATAGAGATACATGACACCGTCAGGCAGATGGCATCCTCTGAGAACCCCCAATTCATGAAAGATGGGAGCTGGGAGCAGGGGCACAAAAACCAAAGTTGCCATTTTGGGAAGATTTTGAAATGGAAGAAAAAGAAGCAAGGTCTTGAGGTCACTGAACATGCCAAGGTTCGATTTCTCAGCGTCCTTAGTTTGGACTTCGCTGAACACGCCAAGGTTCAGTTTCTCAATTTCCCTAGTTTGGACTATCGAGGACAACTAAATGAATAGTCTCTCCAGGAGTAAGGAGACCCGTTCAGAGACCTCATGGGGATTGGAAAGGCTGCTGGCTGAGCACCGGGAATCCGAGCCTCAGGACAGGGTGTCCCCATATTTAGTGTCTGTACATGAGTGCTCAGCTTGGTGCTGGATGCTGCCTGTAGATGCTGTTCACAGTGCGCCCTCTGGGAAGCTACACCTCATTTTGGGGGGAATAGTCCTGGCACGCACAGTCTAAAGGGGAGCAAGCTGCTGCAACATACACCCGAAAAAATACCCAAGGAGACTGCTCCTCTTCCAGTCTCCCATGTACTGAGTACATGCCATGTACAGGCATCAAGCTAGACATCACGTACAAGTTGATATAGGAGACAGCAAGATGTGATTCCTATCTCGAGGAGCTCAAATCTAATGCAGGAGGCAGATAAAAATAAGTAACCCTAATACAAAATGAGTGCAAGCATACAGGTATAGACAGAAAGAAATGGCATCTGTTACCCTACATTTGTGCAGTTTTTAAATATAGTTTACAAAGCATTTTCACATCTATTAGCTCATTTGAACCTCACTGCCACTCTGTGAGAGGGGCACACCATGCATTATCAAGATTTTAATACTTTACATGAAGAAATGGAGATCTCAGTTTTTGCATGTCCAAAGGCACAAAGCAAATAAATGGTAGAGCCAGGACAGGATTTTCTCCTTCCCCAGGCTGCTTCTCCAACGAATCACAGCAACAACTAACACTCATGGAGAGCTTACTGTTCCACTTACTGCTCTAAGCGCTTTACTTGTAGTCACCCAGTTCATCCTCAGAATAACTCTTTGAAGAGATGCTGTTATTTTCTTTATATAGATCAGGAAACCGATGCCCACGGTTTAAGTAACTTGCCTAGAGATAGAAAGGTAACATGTGGAAGGGGTTGGATTTGAATCCAGGTCTGGACCCAAGACCTCCTAAGCACTTTTCAAGATGTCCAGACCCACACAACATGCTAGAGCTAAAACCGTGAGAGCCAGGAGCTTAATAAGAAAGTGCAGGTGGCAAAGCAGTCCTCTATCATTCTCTAGAAACCCAGGCTTTTACCCAGGATGAATCTCTAGGTCACATGGTGCTTGTCTCCCCAGGGTTGAATGGAGGAAGTATGACATGACATGTTTATATGTAAAACAGTCTTCTTTGCTAATGGCCACAGAATGGATTATAAATATCCTGCCACGTCTTAGCTAACTGAAGAAATAGCTAGCTTTCTTTGAGAATTGAGATGCAAATCGCTTAGGAACATTTGCCTCTGCATTTCTTCTTCTGGCTGTGAAAGGTAAAGCAATAGGAAGTAACTCTAAAGCAATCAGCAGCAATTGAGAGCCTTCTCCGTGTACGAGATGAAAGGGAGGGCGAAGGTCTACAAAGCAGGACTAACTTCTCCAGGGGCTTGCAGTGTAACCTAGCGGGAACATCTTTGTTCAATACAAGGCACTGTGTGGGAGGAGCTTCATTACTAGGACCAAATTAGTGAAGATGTGGTACTATATTTATAAACCATTCTGTGGCCATTACTAAAGAAGCCTACTTTATACATACACATTTAGTGTCATTCATCTTCTAAACAACCCTGGGGAGACAAGCACTATGTACCCTAGAGATTCACCCTGGGTAAAGGCCTGGGTTTACGAGAGAGTAACAGAGGAGTGCTTTGCTGCCTGCACTTTCTTACCAAGCTCCTTCACAAAGAAAGAAAGGTTGACCAGGTGTGGTGGCTCACGCCTGTAATCCCAGCACTTTGGGATGCCGAGGTGGGCAGATAGCTTGAGGTCAGGAGTTCGAGACCATCCTGGCCAACATGGTGAAGCCTTGTCTAAAACCTGTTTAGTAGAAACCCTGTCTCTACTAAAAATACAAAATATTAGCTGGGCATATTGGTGCACACCTGTAGTCTCAGCTACCTGGGAGGCTAAGCCAGGAGAATCACTTGAACTGGGAGGTGAAGATTGCAGTGAGTAGAGATTGCACCACTGCACTCCAGCCTAGATGACAGGGCGAGGCTCTCTCCCTCTCACACACAGACACACACACACAGACACACACACACACACACAGACACACACACACACACAGACACACACACACAGACACACACACACACAGACACACACACACACACGTCATAGTGGGTGGACACTGTGGTCAAGGAGGGCTTTGAGGGAATGAGAGAACTGAGGGAGCTTTGTAGGATACGCAGGGAAGGGTTTTCCCCAGTACCTGCCAAGCATGGTGGAGAGGGAGCACAGGTGGCTTGGGATAAGTCCACAGCCGTTGGGTCATTCCCTTAGCTCCTGGAGGGACTGAGGAAGGGGCTCCTCCGTGGCCACTTCCGCTTGTCTTATTAGGAAAGAGAGCCCTGTGCCAGCTTACCCATGTCCAAAGGCTCTCTTCCAAGACGAAGCCCTGTGTGCTTAGCATGTGGCTCTGATGGCAGAGTCCAGTCCAGAGGAGTAGATTTATTTTTAAGGAGGATGGAAGGAGACGCAGCATTTCCCACTTGGAGAGAGTAAAGGAAGGCACAAGAATCTCAGACTAACTCTGCCCATTTGAGATGAGGAAACATTGAGAGTGGAAGTGAGGATTTGCTCATTGGAACACGGAGACGGCAGAATGTCCAGCTCCTGGCTGAACTCCCTACCAGCGGCTTCCAAATCTGGTTGCTCACTGGAATTACCTGTGGAGCTTTAAAGTCATAATTGCCCCAGGACTAATCTTAGACCTACTGAATCTGCAGGAGCAAAAGCCAGTTATCTGTACTTTATTCAAAGCCACCTGGGAGATTCTTATTCTCCACACCAGACGGGGCTGATACGAAAGTACTTACCAATAAACAGGCTTTGAACGCCAACCACACATCAAGCACCGGAAACAGGACACAGAGACCCAAGGCCCTCTTCAGTGGCTGGCTCAACTTTCCATTCCCTTCTAGGATGTCTAGCCTAACTGCAGGTCAAGATGTAAACGGGTCTTTCTAGGGAATTTAGTGCTGAATGCTAAATCAGTACCCTGTGCTGACAAGTACCCTGTCCTTGAGCCCAGTGCATGGTCTCCTCTGAAGCTCTAGTGGGTAAGAGAAGGGAGAGGCCAGGAGATGTCGGTTCCTGTCCGTTGCACCTAGAGGGCACTCCTCCGTCACAGTTCAGGTCCAGGGGTCTGGGAACCAGTGTGACCTTAGGAGCCCAAAGAGAAACACAGATACCAGCTGTGAGCAGGAAGCCGGGGGAGGAGGCCCTGGGTGTATACTGCTTGGATGTCACTGTCGTTGGTTCCCAAGTAGCTACCTGAACACAGCAGATAGGCTGGTCCCATGGCAGGCAGAGGAACCTGTTGTCTCCAGCCTGGCCTGGAAGGCCTTCTCTGGCATCAAGAGAATTTGCCTCGGGAGCTGTGTGGAAGCATCAAGTCTAGTCCCTGCATTTACACTCGTAGAATCAAGGCTCTTAGTGTAGATAAGGGCGTATAAGAATCTGTAAGAATCTGTATTCCGGCCGGGCGCAGGGGCTCATGCCTGTAATCCCAGCACTTTGGGAGGCCGAGGCAGGCAGATCACCTGAGGTCAGGAGTTTGAGATCAGCCTGACCAACATGGTGAAACCCTGTCTCTACTAAAAATACAAAATTAGCTGGGCGTGGGGGCACATGCCTGTAATCCCAGCTACTCGGGAGGCTGAGGCAGGAGAATCGCTTGAACGTGGGAGGCGGAGGTTGTGGTGAGCCTAGATCGCGCCATTGCACTCCAGCCTGGGGCAACAAGAATAAATCTCTGTCTCACCAAAAAAAAATCTGTATTCCGGCTGGGAATGGTGGTTCACGCCTGTAATCCCAACACTTTGAGAGACTAAGGTGGGTGGATTGCTTGAGTCCACGAGTTTGAGACCAGCCTGGGCAACAGGGTGAAACCCTGTCTCTCCAAAAATTAGCGAGCATGGGTGCATGCCTGTAGTCCAAGCTGGTTGGGAGGCTGAGGCAGGAGAATTACTCGAACCTGGGAGGCAGAGGTTGCAGTGAGCTGAGATTGCACCACTGCACTCCATCCTGGGTGACAGAATAAGACCCTGTCAAAAAAAAAAAAAAAAAAAAAAGGAAAAGAAAAGAAAAGAAAAATCTGTATTCCTGCAAGTTCATTACTCTCCTTCATCTCCTGACTTCCTTTTATCAGCATCTGCTCTGAGAAGGTCCTCAAGAAGATTATCTCACCCAGATCATATTCACTCAATGTAAAGACTTGGCAATAATTTTCAAACAATAACATCAACTTCGTTGTCCTTAT